TTTTCCCCCACCAAAAGAACATCAACATGTGGCCATTAATTCCTTTAGTTTGTGTGAATAAGAGACTTGGTAGTCTCCTTTTTCTATGCTTATATAAGCTCATCCCTGAGCATTGTAAACACATATATTGTATTCCCAATTTCCAACTTAGTAATACACTTGTTTGTGTGTGCTATTTTAAATTCCTAAATCTATATCTTAAGAGTGGTTCTCTTGAGTGTGAGTTTTAGGTTCTAGTTATTTAAATAAGTGTGTCACATCTTATTTAAATGCTAGACTCAACCCCAAGTTAAGATAAGAGTGTGTAATATCTCTTAATCCCAACTTGGTAACTTCGATCCCTGATTTTTCTCCACCCCATATCCCACCATTTCTCACTCTGAAATCCCCCTCTTTTCTTCCCTTAACCCAGAAAATACCCTATCATTCCTTCCCATAACTTCCCTACAGAGCCCTACCATTTTCCTTCCATATTGAAACCTCGGGTAACCCTGATAATCGATTATCCTTCACTGATAATCGACTATCCAACACCCCTGAACTTCCTTGGCAGAATCTGAAACCCCAAATAATCGATTATCAACTATTGATAATCAACTATCCTACCCTTCTGAATCTTCTTGGCTTAAACTACACAATCCCACAATCGATTATTGCTAAAGTGACAATCGATTATTTCCCTTCCCTGAACTCCCAAATTTCCCTCCCAAGAAACTGAACCTCTTGTTAGTCAATTATCATAAATTGATAATCGATTATTCCTTTCTCCTTCAGTTTAAGAAGCTTTGTCCCAAACTTAAAGCTTATTCCCGGAGCTCGGGTATAACATACCCGCAAGGCCTAACTTAAATAGGTATATCTTAGAGGTTTTCTAGATATCTTTCAAATCAACATTAATATGGATATATCTTAGAGGTCTTCTAGATACCCTTAATAATCATCATCATTTCCATGATAAGCATTATATTTATTTTTAATCATGATTTAATCATCAATAATCATTCTAATCAGTAGGTTCATCATTCATAATCATCCATAATAATCATTCATCATAGTCATCAATTTACATAACACTCAATAACAAGTAGCGGCCTAGTTTTGAGTGTTAACACTCTAACTTACTGTCATGCATCACATAAGGTTTTATTTGTTAAAAACATCATTTTCATGGTGGAAAATCATCCTTATAATGATCATAATCAATTGGTATCAAAAATAGGATTTCATAGCTCAAAAACCATGTTTTCTAAACAATAATCGTTTAATATATCATAAGAAAATCGATTAATTGCTTCTGACTTCATTTCTTCAGTAGATTAATACCATAATCGATTATTTTACTCAAATAATCGATTTTTACTTAAAATAATCGATTATTTTAGGTAAAAATCGATTTTTGTGCTGCTGAACTCAATTTCTCCAGCAGACAAAAGTCTAATCAATTTATTTATGAAAAATCGATTTTGCATCGTCTTCTACCTCGAGCCAACTTTCGAAAATGTCATTTTTAGTCACCAAACTTCAATTAAAGTATATAGAAATGTTCTCCAAGGTTCATATATCATTTTGGTACCATTAGTTCCAAGTTTTAACAACGATTTCAAGGTTTATGATTGTTAGACCCGAGCTCAGGGATGAGGCTTTAGTTTAAAGAACAAAGCTTCTCAAACTGCAGGAAAGGAGGATAGTCGATTATCCAGGTATGATAATCGACTAACAGGTGCTTTAGTTTCTCGAGAGAATTTTTAGAAGCTTCAGGAGAGGTAGTCAGTCGATTGACCAGATGGAGTCAGTCGACTATTGTGGGCTGCAGAATTTTCTGAGGAAGCTGATAGTCGATTGTCTAAGATTGAAAGTCGACTGTTGAAGGCTGCGGGGGTTTTGAGAAGGAGGGATACTCGATTGTCAAAAGTGATAATCGATTATCGGGCAGTTGGGAAAGGAAAAGAAGTATTCTTTGGGAAAGGGGAGCAAACCAAGTTGGTGTTTAAGAGATATTACACACTCTTATCTTAACTTGGGGTTAAATCTAGCATTCAAATAAGATATTACACACTTATTTAAATAACTAGTACCTAAAACTCAAACTCAAGAGAACCACTCTTAAGATATTGATTTAGGAATTTAAAATAGTACACACAAACAAGTGTATTACTAAGTTGAAAATGGGAATACAATATATGAGTTTACAATGCTCAGGGGTGAGCTTATATAAGCATAGAAAAAGGAGACTACCAAGTCTCTTATTCACACAAACTAAAGGAATTAATGGCCACATGTTGATGTTCTTTTGGTGGGGGAAAAACACAGGGGTGATTGTACTTGTAGGGTAGGATTCTTGGCCATTAGTGGTAGGAGGGAATATGTGAATATAATTCACAATTGATTGGCTTTGGGTGGGGCTGTTTTTGGGCAGGAGGAAAAGTTGGATGGTAGGCTATTTGGATGCATTT